AATTACATTTTTTTACAAACTTAAAATATCAACAATATGTATGCAAACTAGACCAACTTGACAACAACATAAATGTAAAAATTAGAGTTATGAATTGACCAAGGATTTTATTTTTAGAAATGACTCCTAGTGAGTCTCCTAATTATCCTACACAATTTCAAAAAAAATCGCTGCCCGGAAACTCTCAATTTTTTTACCTAAAAAATCAAAAATGGTTTCTTTTTTGCTATGAAATCACCGAGAATTTTAATACAAAACTTTCAAATATTTCTATTTCCGACAGTAATATTTCTTTTTAAATAACTTCATTCTAAAAAAACAATCATACAATTATTGTTATTTATAAATTATTTATTGAATAATTTTATTTAAATATTTCAATATTAATTGCCATTTAAAAGAATTGAGTTTACAATTTTCAAAAATAGATGAACTTCAAAAGGCTTTAATTTGAAATTTCATAAACTTTCAATTTTTAATGAATGTAATTAGAAACTTTAAAAAACTTAGATTTTTTCAAAATTTTAATAGTTCAAATTCTTCTTAAAATTAGTTACATTTATCAATATATCGTCGGTTGGGTGCAGAAAGATGCCAATTCAGACTAATTAACAAATAGAAATTTTTTTTATACAAAATTTTTTTTCACACAAATTTTTGTTTATTTAAGTAATATATGTCGATTTTGGTAAAAATTATTTTGAATTTAACAATTACCATTGTTATGAACAATTACATGAACAATAATCAAGTTTCTTTGACATTTGTAAACATTTTATGCATTTTTTAAACATAAAATGTTTATATAATATGTACATTCTTTCAAAAACTTTAAAAATTTATTAGCACAAACAATTAATAATTTGTTTATAACAAATGTAATTACATTTGTTATAAACAAATTATTTACTTTTTAAACAAATAAATGGCTCTACTTGATTATTGATAACTAGATTATTGTTCATGTAATTGTTAATAACAATGGTAATTGTTAAATTCAAAATAAATTTTACCAAAATCGACATAGATTACTTAAATAAACATAAATTTGTCTGCAAAAAAAAAAAATTTTTATAAAAAAGTACAATAGTTATCTATTTGTTAATTAACATTGTTTGCAACAATTTAAATAAATTGTATTATACATTATTATTTGTCTGGTGGTCATGCTAGACTAATTTAAATTGATTCCAATCATCTGCAACGAAAAAATAAAAAAATTAACATGATTTTTTCTAAAAATATTGTAAATTATTAACTTTGAATAACAAAAAAAATATAAACAATTTAAAATTCAAAAATTGGTTTAGAGGAATCTCTTAGAAATTTTATTCCCTTCAATTTAAGACCAAATCCATGAAAATCCGATAAAATTTGTAGGTTCCAGACAATTTTAAACAGCGTAAATTGTAAAAAATTCCAATGTGCGCGGGGCGAGTTTAACGTCATCATATTATTTATTTCCTGTGTGTCTCGCATAATAGGAACCTGCAAATAATAAGTGTACCTAATGTGAGACGGTAGTCTGACGAAAAACCTGGCTTATCTCAATTTAAAAAGTAAAATGCAAAATAAAATAAAATGCGCAGTAGTGCTCTATCAACATTAGGCATGCGCAGTAGTGTTCTGTCAATGTCACGCATGCGCAGTAGTGTTCTGTGAATGTTACGCATGCGCAGTAGTGCTCTATTAATATTAGGCATTCGCAGTAGTGTTCTGTCAATTAATTATATGTTATGTATTATGACATAATTATGTCACGCATGCGCAGTTGTGTTCTTTCAATGTCACGCATGCGCAGTAGTGTTCTATCAATGTCACGCCTGCGCAGTAGTGTTCTATCAAAGTTACGCATGCGCAGTAGTGTTCTGTCAATGTCACGCATGCGCAGTAGTGCTCTATTAATATTAGGCATGCGCAGTAGTGTTCTGTCAATTAATTATGTGTTATGTATTATGACATAATTATGTCACGCATGCGCAGTAGTGTTCTTTCAATGTCACGCATGCGCAGTAGTGTTCTGTCAATATCACGCATGCGCAGTAGTGTTCTATCAATGTCACGCCTGCGCAGTAGTGTTCTATCAAAGTTACGCATGCGCAGTAGTGCTCTATTAATATTAGGCATGCGCAGTAGTGTTCTGTCAATTAATTATGTGTTATGTATTATGACATAATTATGTCACGCATGCGCAGTAGTGTTCTTTCAATGTCACGCATGCGCAGTAGTGTTCTGTCAATATCACACATGCGCAGTAGTGTTCTATCAATGTCACGCATGCGCAGTAGTGTTCTGTCAATGTCACGCATGCGCAGTAGTGTTCTGTCAATGTCACGCATGCGCAGTAGTGCTCTATTAATATTAGGCATGCGCAGTAGTGTTCTGTCAATTAATTATGTGTTATGTATTATGACATAATTATGTCACGCATGCGCAGTAGTGTTCTTTCAATGTCACGCATGCGCAGTAGTGTTCTGTCAATATCACGCATGCGCAGTAGTGTTCTATCAATGTCACGCATGCGCAGTAGTGTTCTATCAATGTCACGCATGCGCAGTAGTGTTCTATCAATGTCACGCCTGCGCAGTAGTGTTCTATCAAAGTTACGCATGCGCAGTAGTGTTCTATCAATGTTACATTAATTAATTAATTCTTAATTATTGTTTAAATGCAATTACCAATAAACAAAATATTTCACTTTTTAGTGATAAATTTTAAACAAATATAGTTTTTTAACAAGTGATCACACATAAATTTCATTTATTGCAATTAAGAGCTTATTTTGTCACCTTTCAAACACTTTTTTAAAAATTATTGTACGCTAATTTTTAAGAAAATTATCGTTTTTTGTTTTAAAAAACAGCCAATTTATAATTATAATAATTATAATTCTATTACACTGCAGTCTTGGTTATACGGAAATTGGTTATACGGAATGTGATGGCGCTGAAACGGGATGAGGGGTGAAGGGAAGGGTCGTGCTTGACTCGATGATGTCAGTAGCGCACCTATCACTGGATCCTTTTTTTCCCCTTGATATAACCTAACCTCAAAGTTGTTAGTGAGCTATCAGACAATATTAATTAATTTATTTATTTGTCTACAAATGTAATTTAATAAATTCAAATTATCAATTTTACACTATATTAATAAATTTCAAAGATATAAAAAAAAATTAGCAGGCGATTCTATTTCAACCGAGGGCAAAAAGAATCTTCGTACTGTCCTGCATATTTATACTTTTTCGTCAAGGTGACCTATTTGGATTATACGGACACACACCCGAGTTGTCCGTATAACCAAGACTTCAGTGTATTTCTTTAAATATTTTATTGTTAGCTGTGATTTTTTAATTAGAACTAGATAATTGAGTTTCTCAGATATTTTTTTATCTGTACTAAAATTAATTCAAGTGTTAAATAATCTAATTTTTTTTTGTTTAGTTTCCAGTCCACATGAAACTATCTATCTGAATTTAGTTTCAGTTCAACTCGTAAATAAACTCAGTTTGTTAATTTAATAGTTTTGTGCCAACTCAGAAACAAATTAGATTCATAGGAAAATTGAAAATTGTACCTGAAATAAAAATATTTGTAAATAAACATAAAAAAATAAATTATTATAATTAGAAAAAAATAATTAATAAAAACAAATAAAAATAAATAAATAAAATATAAACCGAGCGAGCGTTAGCGAGCGAGGAAAATATCGCTAGTTAATTAATAAGTTTGCTTTCTGTGTAACTTTATTTTAAAAAACAATTTTTCTTTTATGTTTCAGGTAAGTCAACTGAAATGTGCGGTTTCTTTTTGATAAAAGAGGTAAAATTTACAATCTTAATATTTCATAATACCTATAATATTAAAAAAAACATAAAACATGTTTTTTATGATGAGAAAAGTTGTTTCATTGATTCAAAGTTAATTTTAATAAAATAGGGGTAAAGGTAAATCGTTATTTATTAAAATCGTCAATAAATTGAGCTTCAATGATTATTTGAACAGTTTTTCAAACTCTATAAACGCAGTATTTATGTTGAAAAGAATTCCTGTGATGAATGGAAAAGAAAAATTTATCAATTTTTCTTGACGCTTTTATTTCGCTTCGTCGATACCCTCTTTAACTTTCTCAAACTATTATTATTTTTCTCTTGTTTATTTACACTATTGTTTGATATAATAAAAGAAATTTTTATAGATATTTTTTTATAAACTAAGAAATGAAGAATGTACTTCTACAAAGATTTATCTCTTGAGATTATCTGTTACTCGGATGAAAAACAAAAAAATAAAAGTTGTTTCTTGCTTTCTTTTGTAAATAATATTTGTCTAGATTCTTTCCTCTAAATTATTTCAGAAGAGTTTAATAATGAAAAGAAAAAAAATTTTTCTTTACTCGAAGAAAATATTTACAGATTCAGTTTCCTAATAACTATAATAATATTGTTGTAAATAGAGACGAAGTTAAATGTCGTGTTTAACGAAAATTGTATTTGAAAACATTAAAAACTTGTTTACTTACAACAGAAAATTTTACAGATTCATGACTTTAAAACTAAGAATTTAACAAAATTAAGACTTTAAAGCTATGAAGTAAGAAGTAGAAAGTAGAAATATATGTATCTTTTAAAAAATTTGAGATTATTTTGTACACATTTTATACTCAATTCACAAATATTTTTAAATAATTTTATTCGAAGAAACATAAAATTCAATAGGAAAAAGACCATTGGCGCATTAATGGCCCAATAATTGGAGCCACCATTCCATTATTGTCCCATTATTGGCACCCAATAATGGACCACTAATGGTAAAATCGTGGGATGTCCACGCCGATGTCAGTAGATATACAGGGACCGTTCTAGACACAGATCCCTGCACCGACATGTTACCGACACTTTTAGCCCAGACTCAAACCACTTAGCCAAGACTCAAACCATTTGGGGGGTTAAGATTCTGATGCTGAGGCGGAAATGACGTCATACACATTCCTGCACCGACACTTTTAGCCCAGACTCAAACCATTGGGGGGGGGGGTATTCAGACCATGATTCTGAGGCGGATATGACATCGCGGGGGGGCAGACAATGATTCTGAGGCGGATATGACATCATGGGGGGGTAATATTCAGACTATGATGCCTAAAATTTTTGCTTGTGTAATTTGATATCTTGTTGATTTTTTTTTTTCGCTTAGGGACTTTTGGGAAATCTGCATACAGATACCTTGGACTCCGCATTCCAAGGTTATGTGGGGTTGGTATAATAAAAAAAAAGAAAAGGAAATATAAAATAAGTAAAATAATAAAATTTAATAAACTGGCGACCTACTGCCAGCCCCGACCCACTAAAACCAGTAACCCTTCTTTTGGAGCCCTTTATCCACCCTCGGAACTATCGCAAGACTTTAGCCTTCGAGGGTGGCGCTCTGACTCTGTCGCTCATGCGACTTTGTTCTCTCTCTGCGGTTCTTCTGCGTCAATAGTTAAAATTAAAAACCATTCCAATGTCAAAGAATAAAGGAACAAATGTTAAAAAGTATTAAAAAGATTAAAAGGTTAAAAGATAAAATTGTAAACGGACATAAAAACAAAAATTAATCTATTAAAAATAAAATGTAAAAAGGACAGTATAAAAACTACAAAAAATAATCAAAGTAAATAAAATAAACAATTAAAAACTATTCGCTCCTTTTAACACTTCTCATTTACTTTTAGTCCTTGCAAGAGTCTTCTTCGCCTCCTCAAGGGCCGACCTGAAGACTCCGCATCCTCCGCTGCCTGCAATATGGGTGGTTGAGACCTTATTGCCAAACTTTTCAGTGCACAAAAAGCAGCTTGCGTTCTTTTTGCAGTTGGAGATCCTGTGACCGGCCTCACCGCACTTAAAGCACGCAGCCGATCTCGATACCTCCATGTATTACAATCCTATCTTATGGTGAAGGTTAATACAGTCCTATCTTGCGGTAACGTTCTATACAGTTCTATCTTGAAGTAACGCTTTATACCATTCTATCTCAAATTTGCCAATTTTGCGTAAGAGCCAAATTAAATGTAAATTCCATATTAAAAATATTAATGACAGTTTGATATTCATAAGATAATTTTTATGTAATTCTTAAAAGATTTTTCTATCATAATATACATAAATAAAACACAATTATATAAAATCAAGCCAAGAAAATGCATTCTTAATACTTCTACAAAGGTTAATTAACCTAATTTTATGACAGGTTAATATTTCACGGGATAGTGGAATGATAAAAATATGGTTGTTAGTTTTCTTGTTTAATTTTAATTATCAATTATTATTAGTTAAAATAAACGTATCATTTTTATGAGTTTTAAGTATAGATACAAATATTTAAATAAGTAAGTAAACGAGGTTTTGATTGTAGAAAATTTTTACACAAGTGAGAATACAAATAGAATAATAATAAAATAATTTAAAAATCTACATTATTTTACTGTAATAAACGTTGAAAACGTCACTCCAATATAGAATTTATAAGTATGTTTCAAAGATTATATTATACTAGTATTTTATTATATATTTCACAAACGATAACAAGATTATAAATTACAATATAATTATAATAATAAAAGTATCTGTAATATTAGTCAAAATAGTCAATCCGAATCTGAATTCGAATGATCTCAATTTCTACGTCAGAACAAGTCTCTCCTGGTGTAAGAAAAGTTAAAATAAAGCAAAATTAACAGATAAAATAATCACTTTATAAATTTATATATTTTTATTATTATTCAGTAAATAATTTTTTTCCTGATGGCATACTTAAATCCAAAGGGATATCCATTTTCTACCTTTTGTTCTTTTTTGCTTTTCTAACACGATTATACGAATCACATGTGTATATTTTTTTTGACAGATACAAAAACAAAAGAAAGATAGAACACTTTTACTTGGAAGATAAAACTTGTTATTATTTCTAATTACTGTTTTTTATAAATATCCTAATTAATATAACTATTTTAGGTGTTACCATCTAATACAGAATATTTTCTTCTATAATTTTAGCAAAAAACTGAAAAATTGAAAATTTTGAGATAGAATGGTATAAACCGTCACTTCAAGATAGAACTGTATAAAACGTTACCGCAAGATAGGACTGTATTAACCTTCACCGTAAGATAGGATTGTAATACATGGAGGTATCGATCTGTCCTCCTTCTGGCATTTGGCTCCAATATGGCCGTATCCCAGGCATCGATGACACCGGACGACCATTACTCTTCTTTTGATTGGGCAACACATAAAACCAATTTTTACGTGTCCCAATTTCTGCAGCCTGTTCGCCTCTTCCAGATTGGTGACTACAACCGCGAGCTTCATCCCTCGGCGGTTGGGTCCTAAGACTGTCACTCTCCTGTTTCCTGGCTTACCCATTGCTTCAGACAACACTTGTTGCACCTCAGCTTCTTGGGTAAGGGAATCCAAATCACGGATCTCGAGTGTAACTCTTCGATCCAATGACTGCACCTTACCCATGCTTCCAACCGCTTTGGTGACCTCGGCGGTGAAAGCGTCCTTGTCGGAGTCTCCTCTGAACTTAATCAGAAGGTCCCCCTTGTTTGTAGCTTTTGCTGCTACTATTCTCGTATGGCTGTCCTCCTGGTTAACCTCTTTGCGAAGCTTACCTAGAACGTCAGCATACGTCAATCCTTGACCGACTCGGTTTGGAACTGTGGATCTTTTTGACTCAATTCTTTCCAATTGAGGAATCTTTGGATCTGGTACTTCCGTTTCCATTGGAGGAGCTTCCTCCTTCTTCCTCTTATCGGTTTTGGTTTGAGTCTCTTCTGGACTGTCACCCTCTCTCTTCCGTTTCTGAGTCCGACTCATCGGCCGCGACGTGCTTTGCTTTTGCTTCTTTCAGCAGGACTTCGATGACTTTAAGTCCATCTTTTACCGTCTTCTTGACGCCCCTCTGAATGTCGCAAGACTCCATCATCTTTGCGACCTCCAACTCCAATTTGTCGAGACAAGTCGCCTCCTCCTTTCTGAGCCGCAAGCATATCTCGCGACTCTCTTCTATTGCCTCGTCGTCCACTTCCGAGTGGATAGCGCTGCGTACGGTCTTTCCGCTACTGCAACTTGACACACTCAGAAGGCTCGACGCGCTTCCTTTTCTCCTTCTTTCTAAACGAAATCATTCCTGCAGTTTAAGTTGGCTGATGAACATATTATTAGAAAAGCATAGTGAAATTCAAGTGCGATTAAACAAATTAATACGAAAAATTAATAAAGTTAAGAGTTTAATTGAAGAAAGGTCACAGTTAAATATTTTAGTGAAAAAATTTGAAAATTTAAATTTAAGTGATAAAAATGAATTTTGATAAATTAAACGAGGCAAGCAAAGTCTTTGTCACCAAGACAACAAAGGAGTTAACCATCGATGCATTCTATAAAGTAACAGACATTCGAAAAATTGATACGAAATTTGGTCCGAAAATTGTTGCTGAAATAAATAATGAATTTAACATTTTCCTACCACCAAGAATGCTAAAAATATTTGAAGAGAATGCAAATATTTTCAACAGTCTGAAAGCAGAAGCTGTAAGAGGTGGTGTATATTTAAGAAATCGTGGAGGACCTTACAATCAAATAGAATTTGTTCCTCAGGGAGTTGACCAGTAGAAGACATAATTACATTTTAATGTCATATTTACCATGTGTAGAAATGTTATTATCTAAAATTTACAAATTGAATCCATCATTTACAAAGCAAGTTGTCGTTGGAGCAGAACTAGACATAAATGGGAAAATAATACCAAAAATTCAATTAAGAAGTAGCCATCCACGAGTATCATTGTCTTTGGAGCTTCAAGAATGGCGCCTTTTGTGTGATGCAGTAAAACATATTTTGCGATTTTTCAATGGAGATTGTGATGCAACAGTGCTGGATTGTGAAACGTTTACAATACGTTTTAGTGTTACATATCGTTTAATATCAATTAAGCGTTTAGATCAATCTTTTACATTTAGTGAAACGTCATTTGCAATATTTAATGAACTTATTGTGTCGAACAAAAATATGTAGAACTATCAAAATTCAATTTGCAGTATAGTAAAGATATAATTGTAACGTCTATTGCAGAATTGATCTTTAAAAATAATGTAAAGTGTACAAAACATGCCACAAATTTTATTAAAATACATTACAGTAGAATACTTCAAAAAGTAATGGTAAGAACTAATGTTTTAAATTTAGAGACATTATTGCTGAAACTTGTCACATTTCTCTGCCAAGAAATATCAAATGAAGCTATTCATCAAATGTCAAATATTCAATGCATAAATAGTAAAATATTGTAAAGAGAGGATAAATAAATACAAAAATGCATACAATTTAATTTATTTTTATTTTAAACCTTTCTCAAATACATTACAATGCAGATTCGTTTATCCAACTGTTATGTGAATTATCAAAACCCAACCATTTTACAAATACATTAGATCCTCGTTTTTTTAATACTTTTTCAACTAAATATACATCTGGATATTTAACTTTAGAAAGTTCTTGCTCGTAAAAACATCCACTTATTCGATTTTCCTGATAATCCTTCAAGATATATGAGCCGTTCGCTAGAAAAACGACTTAAGTCGACTTAAGCGGTTTTTAAAAATTTTGTTATCAGTGTATTCTACAAGACATATAGATTACATATATCAAGTTTCTAAAGTTGTGGGTTACTATTTATGAATTAATTGAGGTGTTTAAACTTCCTGGGTCCCGAAATTGAAGCACTTACGCAAGCGCGCGTTCACGTCCTCTGCTACCGCGCACAGTGGGAAGAAATGCAGTGTTTTGGATAAAATTCTGCTGACAATACAAATCTCCACTGATTTCAATTTCTTTTTTTAAATACTAAAGAAGGTTTTTCCTACAAGCCTTTACTGCTATAAATTTGAAATTTTCAAAATTTTTGGATTATTACAAAAGAAAGTAATTTTTTCATTTTGTTAACTAAACTTGTGCATTATAATGTTGATATTTAATTGAATATTACTATAAAATATATCGTAAAAATTTTTAGAATAATAAATATGTTTTAATACATTAAAATAAAAGTGTTATTTCATAAAATACTTAATTTTGTTTCATTTTTAGTGGTTCGACGGAAAAACCACTTAAGTCATTTCTTATAAAATAATGTTATTAAAGTACCAAAACATTGTTTACTCGACCTTCTTTTCTTTTAAAGTATTCTTTGATAATACCTTTGTATTAAGAAAAATGAGCGATATAATTAATACGCAAATTATATTAGTAATTCGTTTCTGAATCTTTAATTTAATTTTTTCGTCAAAAACTTAAGTCGACTTAGGTCGTTTTTCTAGCGAACGGCTCATATGTTATTGGATTAGTATTTTTTACATCGCTTATAGTAAATATTTCTGTAGTCCAATTTGACGTATAACCTTTTTCAAAAACATGTTTAACTTTACTTATACGTACTCTATCTCCAACTTTAAATTTCTTATTATATTGTCTGTTTACTAAAACTTTTTTAAATACATTAAACAATAAATTATTTTCATTTTGAGCATTTACATCTAGACAATAAACAAACATCGGACAATAAGAATGAAGCCAATTATTATCCACTTGTAATTTTTTTAGTTTATTTACTCTCCCTACAATAGGTAGGGTTCGAGACTCCCAAATACATACATAATAATCTTAACCTATATTTACAAAAATCCTTACAACTAAACATTCTCTAAATACAACTTAACCTAAACTCAACTCTCTCCACGCTCTCAACCTTACGCTTTTAACCTATCGCCAGTGCCGGGCTTCCGTTTCCAGTTCCTTCTATGCCCATGCTGGCTTCAACCCAATTCGCCCACCCTTTTTCAAAAACCTTCTACTCCTTTCTCACCTCTCTTACACCCTCCAGTCATCCACTTTTACCCATCCATATATCCATCCAAGCAAAATCTTCTCACTTCATTCTCAGCCTATCCCTGTCTATCACACTTTACACGCTTCCATCACTCCACCCGTATCCTCCCTCACAACATACTTTACCCCATCCACCCAAATACAATCTTTACCCATTCTTACCTGTTTTCCATTCACTCTCTCCATCCACGCTCTATCTCTCAATAACCATAACATTCTTCTCTCTCTGCAACATCTATCCTCATCTATTCTTATTACACTTCCTTTCAGTCTTCCTTTCACCCTCATCACATCCATTTTCTCTTCCTCACTACCCAACTCCACAAACCATAACTTTGGTACCCCATATTCACCCTTTCCTAACGCTTGTACCATTTTCACTGAGACATTAACCCCCACCCATGCCAACACTTTTCCCACTGCTCTTTTACCCTCCAACACACCTACATTCATACCTCTGATCACTACATTCTTTTTCCTTTTTTCATTTTCTACTACATCTACTCGCCTTGACAAATCTCCCATTTTCCACTTTAACCTCTCATATTCACTTCCCTCAACTTTCTCAGTCCCCTCATTCCCTTCCTTTATAAATTTTTCCAATCCATTCATTCTTCTCCACATGCTTTCCTTTTCCTTTTTCCACTTACTATCCCATTCATTCCACATTTCCTGCAGTTTCTCCAACCTCTCTTCAATTTCCACTATCTCTTTGTCCCTTGATTCCCCATCCTCATACATATCCATTAAATTTCCCTTCACTCTTTTAGCTCCTTCATCCATCGCATCCTTCAACATCCATACTAATTCCAACAAATCCATGCAATCCTCACACGTCATCTTTTTTCCATTCTTTCCTATCCCCCTTTCAAATATTCGCGCCTTTTCCTCATTCTCGCTAACTCTACTTGAGTCAAACTCAGCCATTCCAGAAATCTACCTTATCACTCCAATGCTCAAAATTTTTCCACTGTCTCTCTCTCCTCTCTCTCTCACTTCAAGCAACCTAACCTCACAATACACACTTCTCTTTTTTACCTTTTTTATCACTCACACATTCACTACTCTATACAAACATACCTTTCCTTCACACTACCGCAAATTACACTACACACTCACCACTCTACACTACCCACCCTTTTTTAAAACCTTTAAATTTCTCAAAAAAAATCTTAACTCTTTCCAAACGCGTGTACACCGAAACGGTACCGGAAACGGAAGCCCATTATTATCCACTTGTAATTACCGCGTAAACTAAATTGCATCTACATTTTATTCTTTAAAGTACGATTAAATCGCTCACAAATTGACGCTTTCAAATTACTATGCGTAGAATACAAGTTAATGTTATAACTTTTAATGAGATTTTCAAACTGTGAATTATAAAACTCTTTTCCTTTATCTACTTGCAAATTTTTTGGTACACGTTTTTTAATTAAAATATATTTCATTGCCGCAGTCACATCTTCACTTTTTTTGGAATTTACTGGAACAGCCCAGGCAAACTTTGAAAATGTATTAATAACGGTTAACAGGTACTTGTAACCTTTATTTTCTCTCTCTCGTATTTCAACAAGATCAGCTTGCCAAGTCTCGTCAATACCTCGAATGTCAACATTTCTTCGCTTAGGGAGCGTTCATAAACTACGTAGACCTATTTTTGTCATTTTTTGACCCCCCCTCCCCCCGTGTGTTACGTAGTTTTTTTCAAACTGCATATTTAACTATATGTGACTGACACGAGAAAACGCGGCTTAGCTCCCTAACGCGAATTCATTATCATCATCATCAGCTGTTGCAAATGATAAGTTATCTCTTAAAAATGAATCATTCTCTCTCTTAACTTCTTGATCTTCTTCAAACTCTAAAGGAAGGTCTCCCTCTCTTTCAATTTTTACTGGTCGAATTTGTTTGACAATTTTAATGTCGTCAACTAATTTCTGAATTGGTGTCACTATAGGTTTAAAGGTATTATTTAAAGTCTGTTCGATTTCTTCCTTGACCAATTTCATCAGTCTATGCTTTCGTCGAATAGCATCACTGGCTTTCGCAATTTGTCCAAGAATATTTTTTTGCTTTCGCAAATGTTTCAAGTGTGTAGAAGACATGTTGATAGACCAATGTCTAGAATGAAACTGTTTACAAAGAATATCATTTCTCTAATTTTATAAAACAATCAAAACATTTTCTATATCTACCTCAATTAATATCACGAT